CTATTAAGATAAGAATACATACTGTATCAAGCTGATAATAGAAAAATTGATTAATTAACTTTAAACAATTAAAAAATAAATAAAAATTTAAAAAAATTTGAAATGTTAAACAAACAAACAAACATTTTACTAAAGTTTTTAAAAAGGGAGAACTAGGGACTCATCATTCCTCTCCACATTCTATTCTTTCCCTTGTTTTATATATTTTAAACTTTTTTTTTATCGGTGGATTCTGCTGGAGTTTATTGGTGGATTCTGCTGGAGGATCCGACGCAGATAAGCACTGGAGGGCTCCTGTTGCAAATCACCCTCTGGAGCAATGGAAGGAAACTCAGTCCATTTCTGTTCATCTATATGTTGCCACATGTTCAATGGCTTTTCCCATTACATGCTGCTCCCTGGACTGCAGGCTGGCATCCTGACTCAGCCAGCCTGTTCCTAGAATTCTTCTTGTTTTTTTTTTTTTTTTTTTTTTCAGAGAGACAGCTCATTTTATTGTTCCAGAAGTAAGGTATGTAAGGGTTATTAGGGTTATGGACAAGAAGGCTTGATTGGTCATGACACAGAACCTAATTATCATATGGGCAGGAAATAAGAGCTGTATTAATAAACAATTGCTTAAAAATTGTCTATAGCCACACAATTTAACTTTTTTTGAACTTTAAAACCTTTTTTATTTATTTAATTTTATTTTACAATACCATTCAGTTCTACATATCAGCCACGGGTTATCCTATTCTCCCCCCTCCCAAACCCACACACCTATGAACATATAATTTTTGACAAAGAAGCCAAAAGGGTACAATGGAAAAAAAGAAAGCATCTTCAACAAATGGTGCTGGCATAACTGGATATCAACGTGTAGAAGGCTGCAAATAGATCCATATCTGTCACCGTGCACAAAACTAAACAGAGAATTCTTGTCTTTTTAATCCCACCTATACTTCCTGCCTGGCTACTGGCCAATCAGTTTTTTATTTATCAACCAATTAGAGCAACACACTCACAGCATACAGAACGACATCCCACAGCACAGGCCAAGGACAGAATAGGTCAAGTGGCCAGAGACATCAATGGCCAGAAAGAATGTGGCAACAGAAACATCTAAAAAAACAAACAAACAAACAAAAAAAAACCCCTAAAACAGGTACCAAGAACTGGGTATTTGTAAGTATTTCACTCACGGGAGTCCTCACAGAGCTTGGCAAGGAGCCACAGGCACTATCTCCCTGTTACCCAGGAGCAGGCAGACGCCACAAGGCCAGAAGACTTGCCCAGAGCCACTAGACCTGAAGCTCAGGCACTCACCCCAGAATCACACTGCCCAAGTCCTCACTAGAGACCTGGGGGGAAAGCCAGGTGACCCCACTTTCCATCTTCACAGCTTTGCAAAATTCAAATGGGCCGGGCAGATGAGAGTGGTTCCACTGGGGTAAGGATTGTCCAGAGGATTGTTAAACGTTATTAAAATCACTCTAAGGCATGGCTCTTAGAGGGGAGCCTACTCCACCTCACTCAACAGCGTCATTGCTGACCACAGTGACGGTTGTGACAGGAGCCATAGCAGAGTGACAGCGGAGACAGCGGCTCCAGCGCTCCAGCGCCAGCGACATTGGTGATGGCGAAAGGTGCCTCCCCCGGGGGTGGTAACCGTGACAGCGGCCGAAGCATCCCGTGTCACCCCGACAGTTCCAGAGGGTGGCCCAGCCAGGAAGGAGGAGAGGCAGAAAGTGAAAGGAGGCAGAGAGTTGAGGCTGAAAGACCATGAAAGGCTGAAAATGACCAGTGAAGACCAGCAACTGCTGGGCCTGGTCACTGGGAAAATTCCTGAGGGCTGCCAGGCATTAGTGTGAGGCAAGTGTCTCAGACACCATGGAAGACAGGCAGAGAGTACCAGGGAAAGCCAGCTGAATCAGTACGGTAGCAAGGCCCATGTCCCTTCTTCCTGTGACAACATGAAGTATTCTCCTCAGTGACTAGTGACAGGATCAGCCCTGGTGTGGGTCAGAGCAGCAGTCATCACTGAGCCAGTAACATCTCCCATGTCCTGACATCTCTAGCCCATTCCTAGCAGGAGGGTACCAGACACGTGTTTCCTCTTCACCCGGTATCATTGAGGTAGGAGAAAGACCACCTGGTCCATGAGTCACAGATATCCTTGTGATGTCGTGGTCATCTCCTCATTTCCCACCTGCCCTGCCCCTGCTGAAGCTAAAGGAGCAATACCAAGAGGGAAATGAACATCTGAACCCCTGTCCTCCACGATGGTCAGTCAGACTCACCTTCCCTGGGGTGGAGACTTATCCCTTGACAGAAGGAAGCCCTGGATGATGCCATGGGCTTCAGGAATAAAATAAGGAGCTGGGGCATTAGACATATCTTGGAGAAATTAGTCTTCACCCATGACCCAATGAAGTGTTTGCCTATATTCTATTAATAAAAACTCAGGAGTCAGATATTGGGGTACAAACCTACTAGATCAAGAAAGCAGTAGGGAAATGACTAGCCAACTCTCTTTCTCCACTCTGTCAGATTGAAAAGCCTGAGAATCTCTCTCTCCAAGCCCCCCCACCTTTCTCTTCCTCTACTTCTCTCTCTGGGCCCTCCAAAATCTGTATGGCTAATTCTGGTCAGCTAGTTATGGACTCCATCCCTTGATTCAAGGTTTAACTTTACTAACAGTCTCAGAGTATCGTTGTGCAATCAAATATCCCACAACAGCCCAACTATCAGAGTGTTCTATTTTTGTGAAGAGACACCATGACCACAGCAACTCTTAGAAAAGAGAGCATTGAATTGGGGCCTGCTTACAGTTTCAGAGGTTTAGTCTGTTATTATCATGGCGGGGAGCATGGTCGCATACAGGCAGACATGGTGCTGGAGAAGTATCTCAGAGTTCTACAAATGGATCTTCATGCAACTGGGAGAGAAAGACTCAGGGCTTGGAATGGGCTTTTTAAAACCTCAAAGCCCACCCCCAATGACACACTTTCTCCAACAAGGCCACACCTCCTAATCCTTCCATATAGTGCCACCCCCTGGTGACCAAGCATTCAAATCTATGAGCCTGTGGGGACCATTATTATTCAAACTACCATACCACCCCAATTCTGGTTGCAGAAGTCTGATCAAAATAAGAAAAAGGAAACACCAGGAAAAAAAGAAAAAGCAGAGAACAAAAAGCAACTGAAGGTAGGTAAGGAACTGGAGAGGACAAACCCATGATCTCAAAGTCCCTGGACTTAGACGAGCCAGCTCTGGCCCTGCTGGACTGGTTCAGCATTATCTGTTTCTGAAATCCACCCCCTGAGTAAACAGCATACAGAGCACAAGGAAGGTGAGACCCAGGGTGGAAAAATGGGAAAGTGGACAAAGGTTGGCATGAGCCCCAAAGGCCGTGGAGTAACTTGAAAGGTAGGAGTAGACATTAATAGAAACAAGGTGAGGGAGACCCTGGATGGCTAGGACACTGCGAGACGCATTGGTGAGCAGCATCCTGGGCTCAGGACCGAGTCACAGCCCATAAATTCAAAGTGTCTTCTCCGTAAGGGCCCTTTACTTCCTACACACAGAGAAAGGCATTTCCCCCCAATTCCCCCTGTGAAGTCCATGTGGCAAGTGTAATCCTGCATGGTAGATAAGGATGCTGTAGCTCAGAGGGTGAGCCAGCATGGCCCATAACCATGGGTAGACAAAGGCACAGGTAAAACCCCTCCTATCTCCCCCTGTGTCCAGGAAGAGGGTTGGTCGTTAGAGCTCCGTGTGTTTGATCGACAAATGCACTGGGAATCCTTGTTAGTTGCTTCCTGAAAAAACATGCAGAAGAAAATAGTTCAGCTCTCACTTTTTGACCGCCCCCAGCCCCCCGCCACCCCTTAGTACTAGATTTTCTATGGTGTATACAGTCCCCTCCTCCCTAAGCATGGTGATATTCTTCAAGACTCCAGAACCGGCAGATGGGGCTCACAACCACTCACTTCTCGTCTCCGGTGACTTTGGTTTCCATCTTATCACAGTCATCCATGCCTGGGCTTGCACGTAGACCCCAGTTTCACATGCGTAATCCTTAAAAACAAAACAAACAAACAAACAAAAAAAAACCAGGTAATCCTTCACAGATCACTTCTTTTGAAACAATAAACATGGAGTTTGAGAAATGAGGCAAGAAAGAGCAGATGCACTCCGAACCTTGTTCTCAACCATTAATTACTCAGAGTAATTTTCCTGGGCTCCTTCCCTCTCCCCTCTCATGACCACCTTTCACTACCAATGCGGCCCCCATTCCTGTACCCTCACCCTCCTCACCCTGCTGAAGCACTGACACCCTACGTCAGGTGTCCCTCTCTGTGGCTACCCTGCCCTGCTCTAGTCGGTCCCTCTGATCACCATGCCCTGCCATCCTCCACATTGCCATTCTTCTCACCCACTCGGGCCCCAGGACTGTGCCAGGCAACTTCTCCAGGTGAACACAGTCCTCGCCAGGATGAGGCTCCTGCCTGCTCACTGGCCTGCTGACCCATGCAAAGGTCCCCTTCATTCACCTGAGCACAGAAAGTATCAGCCTCTTGTCGTGTCACGGTCTGACTTCCTGCAGACCACTTCTCATCCCAAGGATATGATCCGAGTTAGAGCTGGGAACTTGGACCCCTGTGTGGACGCCTCCTGCATGGCCTGGGTTCCCTGCTGGAGACCGCTCTTATGACAATGCCTACTTACCTGGCTTGACATCCTCACTGGCTTTGTTTAAGGCTGACTTTTTTTTTGCCAGCTGTATTTACTGGCCACCCTACTGAGGAGGAAAGGGAATTAAAAGGGGGAGAGATGAGAAGAAAGTACACTTTTAGATTTTTTTTTTTATGAAGTAAACAAACAAGACACCTGTGGAAGAAAATTCTCAGTCACTGCCTAAAACATGCTTTAGGGTCCCTCTCAAAGGAAACACAAACATCCAGAAACTCAAAAACAACAACAACAACAACCAAACAAACGAAAAACAAAACCAAAAAACCAGAATGCTTGACACTGGACCCAAATGATGAGAGTAGCCTCTGACCTCCCTCTCCCTCTACACATTTCAAAAATATCTATTGCACCTTTAAAAAGAATGTGAGAAGGAACAATCCACAGGTAACAGTGATGTAGAATCCCTAAAAGATAGAAGAAGGTAAATGTGACAAGACAAAGAAAATAAGTCAAAGTTGTAAATAATATATTTTTTAAAATAATTTTTAATATAATTGGGGAAGTGAAGAGAGTCCACGCTGGCCATCCGAGCTCAGAAGCTTCGGGCCCAGGGGCTGCCCATGGGCTGTTTGGACTCTTCCTCCAAGAGGAGCGATTGACTTGTCGGTCTCCAAGAGGACTGAGGCTGGCTCAAGGAGCCGTAGCAGGGTCTAGTGCCACACCCTACCAGGACACTGACACCACATCCCCAACAGCCTCCCCATCCCACAGAGACAGACAATCCAGAGGTGAGAAAGGAAGTCAAGAGAATGGGGGAGGGAACAGCACACAGTCAGTCCTCAGCGGATTTCCCACTGTTGACAAGAGGGTTTGCCCGAGGCTTTAGAACAACCAGACTGAAGTCAGTCAGCTGACAAACGAGTTCTATGCACAGGAAGTTGTGTGCAGTGGGTTTTCACTAGTAGGAAACAAGGCCTGTGTTTAGGCTGGCAGTCCAAAGGAAGCGGTTGTGTGCGTATTAGAATCAACGCTGACTTGGCCACAAAACGATCTTTGACTCTGATTATAGGAAACGATACTTTGTCCTTTGACTCTGATTATAGGAAAAGCAAACTCAAGATAAGAAAACTAAAGCTGTGAAGGCAGATGAAACCATACTTCAGAAAAGGAATACAGAGAAAATGGAACCCCCACCCCAGCCAGAGGTAGGTGGCATGGGGAGGGCCCCACTGTTGGAGGGGGGGGGTGACCTCTGATCTAACGCATCTCTTGATCCACACAAAGTAAAGGCTTTGCTTGTGGCCCATACCATAGAGTAGTCATGGAATTAATGCTCCAAGCATGGCACATGTACAAGTAAAAGGTCTGAATAAAACCATTACCCTGAATAACCATCGAAACCAAGACTGTCCCAGCTAACTGGGGCAGCTACACTCCCCAACGCTGCTATGAATAGGGCTTGCTTGTCCTTGACTGTCTTATCCAGTCGCCTTGTTAGAGAGGCAGATGACGGAGGTACAAAGATTGGTGTGTGGGGGAGGAAATGTCCCAGAGAGTGGGAGTAGGACTATGTGACGCTGGGGGATGGTGTGTGTTTGGTGAATAAAGAGCCAAACAGGGAGACTCTCATGTCCAAAATTATGCAAGCGTGGAACGTGTGTGTGTGTGTGTGTGTGTGTGTGTGTGTGTGTGTGTAGGATGTGGGAAGTGAACAAAGTAAGAGTGAAAAATAGAAGAGAAAGACCCCAGACTGTACAGAGGAGGGAGACAGTCTTAGGGCCTCACAGAGGGAGGTGGCAGGTTGTGTGGATTAAGGCGATAGGAAAGTGAAGTTCATACCTGCAGATGGGAGGTCTGAAGGAAGAGGTCAAGGGGCCCTGGTGGCTATCAGATCCAAAGTGGTTCTATAGAACCCAGGGCTCTTGTCCTAAACTGGCCAGCCCAGTCCCTGGAAAGCCAGAAGAGGTATCAAGAGCAGATGTCCCCATTCTATAAATGGGGACATTGAGACTCAAGGTGGTGCATGCTTATCCATGCACATAATAAGCATGACAGAAAGAGGTAACCAGAGGCCAAATGCTCTTCCTGATCTCTCAGGGCCCCCCTGGTTTCCCATCCTGAGGCTGAGGTTTCTGAGGACTATTTCCTGAGTGTCCTTTCTTTTTCATGCAACCACTCCTCTTCAAAATAGCAGCTGCCTGCTAAGGTCATGCTGGCAAGCATAAAGATCCAGGCCTGGTGGCGAGGCACCCTGGTGCGCCGGACCCTGCTGAAGGCTGCCCTCAGTGCTTGGACCATTCAGTGCTGGTGGAGGCAGACAATGGCCAGGCTGCTGAAGAGGAGGTTACAGGAGAAGATGGACTGCAGCCTGAGACAAATATATGCAGCTGTGAAGCTGCAGTCCTGGGTGCGTATGTGGCTCACCCGGAAGCAATATCTCCATTTGCGCAACTCTGTTCTAAAACTGCAAGACTCTAGGAATTATGACTACATTTGTAGAAATCATAGTGCGATCCAGGGCTGCTATGAGATCACAGGAAAGAAGATAAAACTTCAGGTTGATATCTTTTTTGAATCGCAGATTTGTCGGATTTCAGACTGTGTGCCTTTCCCAATAAAGAACTGACCAGGGTTGCTCCTAATAGCTGTCTCTGGGTCTTTGTAAGATAAAGTGCTGGATGTCCCAGCCTCAGCGATGGGTCAGGAAAATGACTGCCGGCTTAAAGCACAAGTGTGCTCTGGAGAATCAAGAGAGAACATCTGTACTCCCGAGGGGCAGAGAATGTGAGAGTCTCAACCTGTCTGATCAAGATCTTGATTGATTAGCAGTGTTTCCTGGTTGAAATATTGGTATTGTAAGGTTCAGGTGTTGCATGACCAACTCCAGAGACCCTGCCTCACTGATACCCATTTAAATGATGTTCCTCAAGTTGTGCAATATGGAGGAGCTCATCTTCCAACATCTGGATTTAACTTTTCCCCATAGAGACCTTGTTTGGTCTGGCCTGGTCTTTTGCACCTCCTCAGTGTCCTTCCTGTGACACTGGATAGGAGGCAACTTTGGTTTCAGTGACATTAGGATAAAACTCATGCAAAGAGCGTAAGTGTTATAGGCACAAGTGTTATGGAAGTGTTCTAGGAAGGCAGGTTCAGCTGGAGCTAAAGGAAGCCAGCACTGACAGAGAGGACGCTGGCTTGTCCATGCGTGAAGAGACAGGCCTTGCAATGAGTTGCTGATATGGACTAGGGCCTCGAAATTTCCCATGGATCATGAATATGGCACTGTTTTCCATTTTTGTTTTGTTTCAATTTTTGAATCAGGTACTGCATTAATCAGGGTTCTCTAGAGGAACATAGAATGAATCTATGCATATATAAAGGGGATTTATCTAAGTGGCTTACAGAAGGAAAGTCTGAGAATCCAGTTGTTCAGTCTACCAGGCTGGATTTCTCGGCTGGTCGTCAGTATATGTCAGAATCCCGAAGAAGTAGGCTCTGATGCCAGTGAATCGTAAGGGCAAGCAGGGAAAAAACAAAACCTTCCTTCTTCCTTGCCCTTTATAGAGGCTACCACAAGAAGGGGTGGCCCAGATTTAGGGGGGTCTGCCTAGTTCAAATGATCCAATTAACTAAAACTCCCTCACAGGTGTGTCCAGTGACTTGAAGTTTTAGTTAATTCCAGATATAGTCAAGTTGACTACCAAGAATAGCCATCACAACTACTAAGGGTAGACTTTTAAAATTTTTTTAGTTTTTCTTTTTTATAGGTATAGGTATTTTGCCTGCATGTATGTATGTGTATCACTTTCATGCCTGGTGCCCTCAGATGCTAGAAGAAGTTATCTCATCTGGTAGAACTAGAGTTACAGATGATTATGAACCATCATATGGATGTTTGGAATTGATCCCAGGTCTTCCGGAAGAACAGTCAGTGCTTTTAACTGTTGACTCATCTCTCTCCAGCCCCTAGGTATGGCATTTTTAAAAGAACATCTTACTTGTATATAGTCCATATCAACAACCAGTTCATCCTTGGACACATTACAGCCCTACCCTAGTCCCTACAGTGCATCTGGCCCTTCCATAAGAGGAGAGTATAAAGAAAGACATTCTGTGCATTGTTGAAAAGGGGAAGACACAGTCACACATTCAGTGGATATCAGAATACGTATAGTATTAAAGCCCAGAACTTACCCATTCCTTTTCTGGGTTCATAGTCCCTGTCCTGTAAGAAGGAATCAAACTGAAGCCATTTTGAGTAAAACTTCCATTTTGAATAGGGCATCAAAGAAAGTTTAAGTTCCCAAGACTGAGTGACTGACATCCTGGTTGGCAAGAGACATGAATGTGGGGGCAAGCCACGCAGCCAGAGTTGAGTAAACCAACCAATGGGAACAGGATAAGGGTACCACAAAGAAATGTCCCTAGAAGAATCCCCTTTCCTGATAGGTGGAAAATGTAACTTAGCACAGATGTTTGTGACTTTTGTGATTGGTGTGTGTGTGTGTGTGTGTGTGTGTGTGTGTGTGTGTGTGCGTGTGCGTGTGCGTGTGCATGTGTGCGCGCGCGTGTGCGCGCGCTCTTAAAAGCTGTGTAACGTTCTGGCTCAGGACCACAGTTGAGCTCCTGAGTCTGTTCTGCGTCCCCGATCAATCAGTTGCAGTTTGATTACAATGAACTTTTCTTTTCTGCATTGACTTGGTGTTCGAGCCGTGTTGGATCCAAGCAGTCCCCATAGCAGTCCTGCCTATTCACTTGGCCAGTCCTCAAACATCCCAAGCAGAACACCCCAAGCTTGCTCCCATCTCAGAACTTTCCCTCGCTGCCTGCTTCCCTGGAGAATTCTCTACTGAAGCTCTCCAAAGGCTTCAGGGGGGCGGGGGGGGGAGGGGGGCGGTCCTGATTTACATAGCTTTCCCTGACCTCCTCCTCTTGGCTCTAACTCCTAACTCTGCCGCTCTGCTATAAAGTTCTTATCAGGTCCTGAGCATCCAACCTCATTGTCTACTGACCTGTGATGCTCTTCTTGGTTGTCAATTTGACTACAGCTGGAATGAACTACAATCCAGAAATGGAGGGCACACCTGTGAGAGATTTTTTTTTTTTTTTGCTTGGTTTGGAGTGGGTGAATCTGCTTCTAGTCTGGACCTTTGAGGTGGGAAGACATATGCCTTTAATCTGGGCCACACCTTCTGCTGGAAGCCTATATAAAGAAGAAGGAAGCTCTTGTTCTTTGCCTGCTTGCCCTCACCTTGCTAGTTCATCCATTCTTTCACCGGCTTTGGAGCCTAGTTCTTTAGGAATCCAGCATATACTGAAGAGCAACAGAAACATCCAGCCTTGAGGACTGAGCAAACTACTGGATTCCTGGACTTCCCTTTTATAGACAACCATCGTTGAATCAAGTGGACTGAAGCCTGTAAGTCATTCCAATAAATCCTCCTTGTATAGATAGAGAGGGAGATTCATTCTGTGAGTTCTGTTAGAACCCTGACTAATACAGGACCTCACACTAGAAATCAACTTCATGGATGCAGAGCTCTGTGCCAGGACCTTGCTCAGTTCTGACCCCAAAGGTCCCAGCACTTCCACCTAGCCAGTCCTAAACCATTTGCCTGCCCTGTCTGATCTCTCCATGGAAACACCAATACGACTGGCCTAACCTCTCTCCTTGCTTCTCTCTGTTGCCTTCTCACCAAACCTGAAAATTCCCCTGTGACCCTGAGGGCACACAAGGACCTTTCTCCATGACCTGGGAGAGCATGAACTTGGTTTTCCTGAGCTGTTTCTGTGACTATTTATTTTTATTTAATTATTTTTCATTTTACATACCAACCACAGATACCCCTCTCATCCCTCCTCCCACTCCTTGCTTTGCCTCCCCCAAACCCCCTCATCCCTTCCTTCAAAAGGGTAAGTCCTCCCATGGGGAGACAGCAAAGCCTGGTACATTCAGTAGAGGCAGGACCAAGCCCCTCCCCACTGCATCAAGGCTGAGCAAGGTGTCTGACCATAGGTAACAGGCTCCAGAAACCCAGCTCATGCACCAGGGATAGATCCTGATCCCACTGCCAGGGCCCCCCCCAAACAGACCCAGCTACACAACTGTCTCCCATAAGCAGAGGGTCTATAGTCCAGTCCCATGCAGATTCCACAGCCGTTGTCTAAAGCTCGTGAGTTCCTATGAGTCAGTTGCTGTGACTATTTCTGTGAAGTATTGCTCATGACACGAAAGAACACAGGATTTGTGTGTGGAGTAGGGGAGGGGGTGAGAAAAAGAAAGAGGAGGGAGTAGAGGAAAACGGGCTTTGAGCAATGCAGAGGGGAGGCAGGGTACCGAATACATGAGCTGTGGAAAACAAAAAGGGAGACTGTTGAGGGGGACGAGATGAACCAGCGGAGGAGACGAGGGGAAGGGGAGGAGGACGAAGCAGAACAAAGTCTAATGACATCAATGTGTGAGCCTGCCATCATGACACCTGCTATTACTGATGTCAACTAAAAAAACAATTTAAAAAAATAGAAAAGGGTAAATTAGAGAGTGGCCCACACATAGCCACCAAAGGTCATGGCCATGTAAGTCATGTGACCTGCACTGACTGACAGACCACCTGTCTGTCACTCCTGTGCAGGAATGAGGGAGCCAGACTAAGGTGGCCTGGGAAAGGGCTGAATCTAGCCCATGTCAGAAGGAAATGAGCAGTGCTTTGAAAGGAGAAGATACAATCAGAGGTGGCAATGGAGACAAACTGGTAATGCTGGTTTGTTATCAGCCTAGAAAACTATCTGACCCCTTCAAACAGGTTACACAGAGGCCAGGGCACCATTCTCTTATACAATGGCTTCTGTTTGGAAAATCACCATCAGAAAGAGTATTCAGATACAGGATGAAATGGCTTGTTAAGAGTTCAGCTGGGTCTGTGCAACATTTATTGGCCTCCTGAAATTCATTTAGCCCCCTTTGAAGATACCTTAAAATTTATGAGCCTGAATGTAGCCATTATGAGACCATT